ACCGTTCAAGACCGTTCAAGACCGTTCAAGACCGTTCAAGACCGTTCGAACTTCAATTAAAGGCACCCCTTACTCTTCTAAATTCCAGGGTAAGTCAGTCCAGTCCTTCAAAAAAACTTTCCTCGAGGCAATCCTCTCATTCCAGTATCAACTTAGTTCTCTAAATCACCTCCAATGCACTTATGTTTTCTTAAATTGGGAGAGCAAAATTGCACAGTTTTTGAATTACAACTTCACAAATGCCCTATATGACTCAAGTATAATATCCTTATTTTTATGTTCAATTCCTTCTGGAATAAAGCATAGCATTCTGACAACTCGCTGGCAAGCTAACAAATCCCTATCGAGTAGCCTTTCTCAAGAGAGTTAAATTGGCAAGTGATTGGGGTGTCCCAGATTGATAGCAAGCGAAGGAATGGATGAAGGCATATTGTCAGATGTCCACAAAATTCTCTCGTTTAAATTGCGACATAGAGCCCTCTTAACACAACTTGAAATATTTAAACATCACTCCAAGCTCTGGTTTCTACAATTGGGTGCGTCCAATGAAAAAAAAAAACAAGCTCTTAAGGTATGACTAACGATTTTGAACAGGAGGTTTTTGTACTGTTAACACATCAGGATTAAACAGCCAAAGCACTAAAAGACATGCACCACATTAAAGACTAATTCAGAGTCAGATTAACCTTCTGCATCATTGACAAGCATTCATGTCTCTTAAAGATCTCTACACCACAGGGCAGGTGTGGAGAAAATAGTTCATTGTAATTTGTCAGGTGAGGGACTAGCAAACGGAATTATTGACTTAGTAATTGCATCCACCCTCATGGAAGCTTTCCAGAAAGATTTACTTGACAAATTCAAGACTTGTAGCGTTAAAGATCTAGTAGAGACCTATTACAGAATATTGTTGTAGGTCAAAAGTTTACAATGCCCACCTACAAATTCATTGGCTGACACAATCATTAGAACACCCAAACACATTAAGACTTGTGGAAGGAGTAGCCTCTGCATGCAGCAAGGAAATACCCAGCTCTCAATCAACTTTTCAAGGTATATAAAAGAAAAGTTCATTAGCCGAGCCATTGCAGTACAGCAATGGTAATACAGCTACAAACAGGTCTTGTGCAAGGAGTATCTTCAAGCATCAATAAAAACTCTGGTATCCGACCAAAGGAGTACAGTAGTGATCAACAAAGCAGTATGTAAGGATGCACTAGTCACAAATCATGGAATCAGAGAGACAGATCACAGATTCAGAGAAGTGTCAGAAACTGTTCCAAACTTAGGAAACACTTGCAAAACTCAACAAAAAAAAAGGAAAGAGGGCAGACCACTTCTCAATCTTCTGAGTTAGTGGAGTCAAATCTCAGATCTTTGTTGTGGAAAGAAAAATGAAAGTTCTGGAGAAAAGGACTGAACAGCTAGCTCAAGGTAAATGTAAACTTGAGAATATCATCTCAGATAATGACTTCGTAGGAGATACCTCCACTCAGAAAGAAACTCAGGAGAAGAAGGAATGGAAGCAGAATGAACAAGCTCTGCATCAAAAGAAACAGAATGCTCAAGAAACTCAATACCATGGCAACATCTGTGCAGAAATAGTTAACATTTCAAGTCTGATATGACTCTTCTTCAGAACTCTATTCAATCTAACAAAGAGATTGCTGGTTTATAGGAAGATCTTGCACCAACTCACATGGAACATAGATCAGACTCAGCAGCAGCTCTAGAATATCTGCTGGTGCTCAATGAAATGCTAGAGAAAACGAGACAGGTAAAGATTCATTGAACACACAATGAACTTCAAATCACTTGACAGTCCTTTCAGAAATAAATATCAGCAATGATGCTTGAGTGAAAGAACTCAAGGAAGACATGAAAAATAAACCAGCCAAAGCAGCAAAAAAAAAAAGGTGGAAGAGGTCCAGACTTCAACGAAAGCAAAAATAGTAAAACAAAGGATCAAACGGGTTGTATGGTTAGAGCAGATATACTGGACAAACGGAAAGATAAAACAATTGATACAATTAGAAGAATCTATAATGTAAAAGTAGAAGCTTCAAAATGAGTTAGAAGGTCTTGGAGGAACAAAACAGCAGCTATGAAGAAGATTTGATACACTCAAAACAGCTTAAAGAATGAGATCAGTCAATGGCTAACCTAGAACAAATCCTGAGGCATTACAGGCAACTTTAGCACATTCTGGATCAGCAATTGCATTCTAAGAAAGTAAAATTTGACAACAAACATAATGACAGGCAATATCACTGATGACTGAACAAATCAATGACATTGCCAAACAGTCACCATAAGATCCAGGCATTTCAGCAAAATACTTATGGTTATAATGACTCTCAGGCTCTTTAGCTGTCCTAAGTAGTTTAATTTCCTTGTGGAAAGGAGGGAGTGTTGTACATGTATCCA